CTGGCCAAGTCCAGAAACACCGGGCTCCTGGCCAAGTCCAGAAACACCGGGCTCCTGGCCAAACTCCTCGCTGTCGGAAGGCACCGAAGGCTGCACCAGAGGGGAAGGGCCGGGAGAGAGGGACCTAGCCATCTCCTCTCCGTCATGTTCAGAGCCTTCCTCCTCTGATGAGAGGGACCCACCGGACGGAGCCACAACAAGAACCACTGTTCTAGTCTTACCTTTTTAGAAGCCTAAGTGTTTTCTTGCAACACTATTTCCAGGAAATGGAGTGCTCTTATTAATCCTTCTCTTCCAGAGGTCAAGTCTTGCCTGCCCATACATTGTTGAACATAGTGGACGTGGAACTGATCTACGAAGGGAAGAAATATGTACTAAAGGTAATATAGCACCAGATATACAGCTAACCTTCAGAGGAAATTGGACTACCATTTGTCTGAAATGGTATAGAGTTTCTTGCCTGAGCAGGGGGTTGGACTAGAAGACCTTCAAGGTCCCTTCCAAAGAGAGAAGCAACCTAGAATTAAGGAGAAATTTCCTGACAGTGAGGACAATTAACCAGTGGAACAGCTTGCCTCCAGGAATTGTGGGCGCTTGATCACTGGAGATTTTCAAGAAGAGGCTAGACCAGGGGTAGGCAACCTTGGCTCTTTTATGATTCGTGGACTTCAACCCCCAGAATATAGTATAGGTGGTACCTGGCTCAACAGTAGTAACTGTGAGAGGAATCTCGGAGTCCTAGTGGACAATCACTTAAATATGAGCCAGCCGTGTGCTGCAGCTGCCAAAAAAGCCAACACAGTGCTGGGCTGTATTAACAGAGGGATAGAATCAAGATCATGTGAAGTATTAATACCACTTTACAATGCTTTGGTAAGGCCAAGATTGATAATCAAAGGAACTGGGAAAATAATTTGAGATTTAAACAATGCAAACAAAGAAGATTGAAGGAGGGACATTGTAAGTATATCATCCTGCTTTTTAAGAAGCAGGCAAGGTTGTGTGAAAGAGCTGTCCCAAAGAAGATCATGCTTTTTGGGAGAGGTTTGTGAGGTTAGAGCAGGGGTCTTCAAACTTGGCCCTTTTATGACTTGTGGACTGTGGCACACTGGCTGAGGAATTCTGGGAGTTGAAGTCCACAAGTCATAAAAGGGCCATATTTGAAGACCCCTGGGTTAGAGATTTTTATCCATGGAAGTCCATCAAACCAATGGCCAGGAGCAGGAATTTTATAGCCATAATCCCATCTCTCCATGATAACAACCTGCCTCCAGAAGCTGTGAATGCTCCAACACTGAAGGTTTTTAAGAAGAAACTGGACAGCCATTTGTCTGAAATGGTATAGGGTTTCCTGCTTGAGCAGGGGGTTGGACTAGATGACCTCCAAGGTCCCTTCCAACTTTATTATTATTATTATCTCTCAGAAAGTTACTTTGGCTTGGGAAGGAAGCTCCCTCCTCAGATGTCAGCTGAGATGTCACCCAACGTCATCCTAAGAAGGTTGGGATGTTGAACATCTCCATCGTTTACTTCTTGCTCTTCTCTTTCTCGCAGGTAGCTCGGCAGTCTCCAAACTCCTACGTTGTCATCATGAACGCTTCCAATGTGGAGGTTGACGTTCACCGGCTAAGTGATGGAGGTCTCCTGTTGTCCTACGACGGGAGCAGCTACACCACCTACATGAAAGAAGAAGTGGACAGGTAACCTTAGATGCTTCAAGGGATGCTTGCAAGTGGAGGATGCTATTCCTTTAAAACCTTTGAGGGTGATCCTGAAAAGGTCCTTCAGTGAATCTGGCTTCCCCAACTGACTTTGCTTATCAGAAGGTTGCCAAAGGTGATCACGTGACCTTGGGACACGGCAACCGTCATAAGTACATGCCAGTGGCCAAGCATCTGAATTTTGATCACATGACCCTGGGAATGGTGCAGCGGTCGTAAGTGTGAAAAACAGTTATAACTCATTTTTTTCAATGCCGTTGTAACTTCGATTGTTACAGGACTACCTGTAGGACTGTGGGTTTTGGTATCCGGCATCTACTTCCAGCCCCATCCCTCACTCCCGCTTGAGCTGAAGATGCAATTTATGGGGAAATGAGGAGCATGGTACCAAGCTCAAAGTAGAAGCAGGCTCCAGTTATAGGTGGCAGCCATGTGCCTTCTGTCCCAACGTCAAGTCCTGGATTGTTTTGGAGAAAACTAACCTAGATAAGGAAGGCACACAGCCTATAAGGGTGGGGCTGTATCTCTGGGGTCTTATAAAGATCTTAACTTTAGGCTTTAGGAATCTTCCACTCTATATGCCTTTAATCTTGCTAAGGAAAATTCCACAAGACCCTGTCCCCACCCCAGTAAAAACCCAAGGTTGTCCAGGATGCAAAATTGATTGCTTTCAATGGATCCCCACCCTCTTTTTCTTCTCAGCTTACATTGAATACATATTGGGACGATCCAGAAGACTTATTGTCTAATCTTTAGTTGGGATCACAACCTACCTATTTGAAAATGGGACAAAACTCACTTAACAATGCCATGTCTAATAGTGGAAATAGACTAGACTAGACTAGACTAGACTAGAATAGAATAGAATAGAATAGAAGTTGGAAGGGACCTTGGAGGTCATCTAGTCCAACCCCCTGCTCAGGCAGGAAACCCTATACCATTTCGGACAAATGGCTGTCCAGTCTCTTCTTAAAAACTTCCAGTGTTGGAGCATTCACCACTTCTGGAAGCAGGTTGTTCCACTGGTTAATTGTTCTAACTGTCAGAAAATTTCTCCTTAGTTCTAGGTTGCTTCTCTCCTTGGTTAGTTTCCATCCATTGCTTCTTGTCCTGCCTTCAGGTGCTTTGGAGAATAGCTTGATTGCCTCTTCTTTGTGGCAACCCCTCAGATATTGGAACGCTGCTATCATATCCCCCCTTGTCCTTCTCTTCATTAAACTGGACATACCCAATTCCAGCAACCGTTCTTTGTATGCTTTAGCCTCCAGTCCCCTGATCATCTTTGTTGCTCTTCTTTGTACTCTTTCAACATTGTTTTTTACATCGTGGTGACCAAAACGATGCAGTATTCCAAGTGTGGCCTTACCAAGGCATTGTAAAGTGGTATTAATTTTAGGTTCAACTGTGGTCGTAAGTCAAGGACTACCTTTACTGGATTTTACATTGGGGTTTTATCCTTGTTAGGTCACCCAGAGTCACCGAGAGTGAGTTGGGCATCGCTATACATTTTTTGAATAAATAAATAAAATCTTCTGTATAGACATTTTTGCAATCTAATTTTTGTGCTTTCTGTCCTCTCCTGCTTAGATATCGCATCACCATTGGCAATAAGACCTGTGTATTTGAAAAGGAAAATGACCCATCAATCCTACGATCGCCGTCTGCAGGGAAACTCATCCAGTATGTGGTGGAAGATGGTGGACATGTCTTTGCCGGACAATGTTTTGGTGAAATCGAGGTAAAAAAGCTTGTAGGCTTGTTAGACTGGCCTTCTTGTGAATACCTTGTGTAAAGGAGAGCTAACAAATACATACACACAAGTAACAAACACATACACACTCACAGACTCACAAACAGAAAGATTTTCCATCCAGGTCCTTGTTCAATCTCTCTCTTAATCAGAGTGAGATTGATTTTGGTTTGGATCAATTTTAATTAATCAAAAAACTAATCAAGGAGAGAAGCAACCTAGAACTAAGGAGAAACTTCCTGACAGTTAGAACAATTAATCAGTGGAACAACCTGCCTCCAGAAGCGGTGAATGCTCCAACACTGGAAGTTTTTAAGAAGAGACTGGACAGCCTTTTGTCTGAAATGGTATTAAGTGTTTTCTGCCTGAGCAGGGGGTTGGACTAGATGACCTTCAAGGTCCCTTCCAACTTCTTCTTCTTCTTCTTCTTCTTCTTCTTCTTCTTCTTCTTCTTCTTCTTCTTCTTCTTCTTCTTCTTCTTCTTCTTCTTCTTCTTCTTNTTATTATTATTATTATTATTATTATTATTATTATTATTATTATTATTATTATTATTATTAAATAGCAATTGCAAAATAAAACTGAGTAACTGTCTTAATGCAAACACTTATTTATGCAACATACGTGTTCTTTTTCTTCTGCAGAACCCTTCTACTTTAATCCATTTAAATCAATTTAATCAATTAAGGAGATCCTCAGATTTCCTTGTTTCCCCCATTGAGCATTAAAGGGTTTTGTAAATGCACAGATGTAGTCTAAAGACCCCAAATAAGCAAAATATATGCACTGAAATTTATACCGTATTTTTCCGTCTATAAGACGCACCCTTGTATATAAGACGCCCTGGCAGGCGAATTTCTCCGCACCGATCAGCTGTTCGGCGGAGTGCTGAACAGCTGAGCGGGCAAATCTGGAAGTTCGGCCAGCCAACAATCTTGTCCCCCCCTCCCGTTAGTGACAAGCCCACAGGGGCTTGACCCCTGCACCAGACGGCATGGCAATCCACACAGGCATGCCCTGGGCTGCGGAAGTTACCATTATTTTTCCGTGTATAAGACGCACCCGATTTTTGAACAGGGTGTTTGCAGGAAAAAATAGCGTCTTATACACAGAAAAATATGGTAATTTATTTTATTCACAACTAGCTGTACCCAGCCACGCGTTGCTGTGGCTCAGTCCGGTAAAAGCGTGTGTTGCTTTTATGTCCAACAGATGGCGCTGTTTTTTTAAAACATGTTTTTACCTGTCACAGGTGTGACATCTATATAATATAGGTATATAAAAACACACGCGTATTCGAATGCAACATTGTGTGAAAATTTCAAAGCAATCGGTGAAGAACCTTCGGAGATTTAAGATTTTGAACAAACGAACATTTACATTTTTATTTATATAGATGTGTTATCACAGACACCTCGACTTAAAAGATTAAAAGTATCAGTGAAAAGTTTCAAAGGGAGATATTCATCATCACATTGCAAACTAATCAATTTCTGATAAGATAAGAGATAAGATAACCTTTATTGTCATTTTTTTTACTGTGGGCACAACAGCACACATCAAAAATGAAATTTAGTCGCCCGCTCTCAAAGTGAAACACATGACACACACCTAAAAACATACTGTATACAACATATGTATAGACCCACACCCCTACATATACATAACAAATAAATAAATATTAAATGCTGTCCATCTTGAATATATAATGGAAGGAGGCAGCTTGAGAATTCACAAGGTTAATGTTGTATGGAATGAAACTATGATGTATTCAGATTCTGACACCAAACTCTCCTTGGCTAGTATGAATATTATAGTATATTTTTCAAGCTTTGTAATCTCGGATATTTTCCTTGCCTTCTGTGTGATGGAAAGTGTAGCTGAAGGAGGAGTTGGGGGGGGGAGTCCAGAAGGGGTCCCAGAAGAAGAGAATATTCAGACAATCCTGAACTGGATGGGATAAGGAGGAGAAGTTTCAGGGTACAGATAGTCCTTAATGTTTGACCACAATTAGGACTGGAAATTCCATTGCTAAGTGAAGTGGCCCTTAAGAGAGTCACATCCATTTTAATGACCTATTTTGCTACGGTCATTACTTGAATCACGCAGTTGTTAAGCTAATCCAGCTTCCACCATTGGTTATGCTTGGTGGAAGCCAGCTTGGAAAGGTGACAAGTGGCAGTCGCATGTCCCTGGGATGCTACAGCTATTGTGAATACATGCCGGTTGCCAAGCGCCTGAATGTTGATTACACAACCTTGGGGATGCTGCAATGGCCGTAGGTGCGAGGATTGGTCATAAGTCACTTTTTCAGCACTGTTGTAACTTTGAACAGTTGTTAAATGAATAGTTGTAAGTCATAGACTAGCCCAGGGGTAGGCAACGTTGGCTCTTTTATGACTCGTGGACTTCAACTCCCAGAATTCCTGAGCCAGCCATGCTGAGTGGAAATGGAGAGGTTTCCATGCTGAGCCATGCCGGCTCAGGAATTCTGGGAGTTGAAGTCCACGAGTCATAAAAGAGCCAAGGTTGCCTACCTCTGTCACTAGCCTAAAATCTCCCAGGGTATATCTATTCGGTTGGAAGATTGCAGCTTTAGTTTGGCAAGATTTTGTCTATTGGAAGTAAGCAGATAAAGAACGGGACTCAGTCTCACCATGTTGTCTTTGCGCTTAAGCCTGACGTTATGTGAGTGTATCGGATGTACTGTGCCATAAACTAGTAAGCATAACCTTTGGATGTGATAGTTACAGGTAAAGTAAGCCTGTTTCAATGACTCTTGCAATCATTGCAGTGCCAAGTCCAGTTTGAACAGAAAACTTTGAATGCAGATTTTCTTTGCTCTACCGGCGTTTCTGTTCCTGCATTGTTGTTGTTAGTTGCAAAGTCGTGTCCGACCCATCGCGACCCCATGGACAACATTCCTTCAGGTCTTCCTGTCCTCTACCATATTCTGGAGTCCATTGAAGCTCACGCCTACTGCTTCAGTGACTCCATCCAGCCACCCCATCCTCTGTCGTCCCCTTCTTCTATTGCCCTCCATCTTTCCCAGCATCAGGCTCTTCTCCAGTGAGTCCTTCCTTCTCATTAGGTGGCCAAAGTACTTGAGTTTCAACTTCAGGATCTGGCCTTCTAAAGAGCAGTCGGGGTTGATCTCCTCTAGGACTGACCAGTTTGATCGCCTTGTAGTCCAGGGGACTCGCAGGAGTCTTCTCCAGCACCAGAGTTCAAAGGCCTCAATTCTTTGGCGCTCAGCCTTTCTTATGGTCCAACTTTCACAGCCATACATTGCAACTGGGAAAACCATGGCCTTGACTCTACGGTTCCTACGGTTCCAAGCATGGCTGTGCCTTTAATGAGCTTTCTATATTTACCCGCTACTCTTGTTGCTTAAATGAAGCATAATACTCACTCTGTGAAGTTTGTTAATAGGAAATACAAGAGAATTACAAAAATCAGCTGGACCTCAACAGGGCAGGGAAAGCAAGGGAAGGGAAGCTTCCGAGAAGTCACTTGCTTAACTCGGTCTTCTCCTATTTTTTTCAGGTGATGAAAATGGTGATGACCCTCACAGCGGCGGAATCAGGCTGCATCCATTATGTGAAACGTTCCGGAGCAGCGCTTGAACCAGGGTGTATAATTGCTAAGATGCAGCTGGATGACCCGAGCCGAGTTCAGCAGGTAAATTTGGAAGCTTTAGCGCAGTGGTTCTCAACCTGTGGGTCGGGACCCCATTTGGGGTCGATCGACCATTTCATGGGGGTTGCCAAGCAAGGCTGTCTGCCATTTTTTTTGTCCATTTTTTTTGTCCCCTTTTCCGGCGGGTGCCTTACCTCCCTTGGGCTGGGCCAGCTGGTGGTCGGCCTGCTCCGTCTCTGCCGCTTGCCAGCTACGCCTCGGCCGGCGCAGGGGGCGGAACCACGCATGCGCGGCACTCCCGGGCAGGGAAAGTCCTTGACTTACGACCGGTTGGGTAGTCCTCGACTTATGACCGGTTTAGTCCTCGACTTACGACCGGTTTAGTCCTCGACTTACGACCGGTTTAGTCCTCAACTTATGACCGGTTGGGATCGCGGCATTAAAAAGGTTGAGAACCACTGCTTTAGCGGGTTAGAGCCATCCTTTCACAAACTTTTAAACTAAAAATGTATCTTGACTTCTGGGGACATCTGTCATTTTCTTTAGTCTTCTGCTGGGTTTGGGGGAGCAGGAGGGAGGGGGTGTTTTTCTGAACAAGAGCTCTGTGATTTCCTGGTGGTCTCCCATCCAAGCAACCAAACAGCTCTAAACTTGGTGAGCTTTTAGAGGTTGGGGAAGGTCAGGTAGGTGCTGGTGCTGTTTGTTTGTGATGAAGAAGATGAAAGAAATGAATCCAAGGTCTGTAGGAGCCGTCTAGAGTGGCCCCATGGCAAGACAGCTGGACAATAAATTTAATAATAATAATTATGAATTAATTATGAATTAAGTACCAGAATACTTCTGGGAATTCCTAGTTTTTCCTCATAATTGACAAGAGTCTTTTTGTACTACTTTTCTTGGATTGGGCTACAGGTAGTCCTTGACGTTCAACCATAATTGAGCCCACAATTACACTACAGGAAGTCCTTGACTTACAACCATTTGTTTAGTGTCCATTCAACGTTACAACGGCACTGAAAAAAAGTGATTTTGACTGTTTTTCACACATTGCGGCATCCCCAGGTTCACGTGATCAGAATTCAGACGCTTGGCAACTGGCATGTACTTACGACGGTTGCAATGTCCGGGGTCATGTCATCCCCTTTTGCCACCTTCTGACAATCAACGTGAATGGGGAAGCCAGATTCGCTTAACAGCCGTGTTACCAACTTAACAACTGAAGTGATTCACATAACAACTGTGGCAAGAAAAGTTATAAAAGGGGCCAAAATTCACTTAACAACCGTCTTGCTTAGCAGCGGAAATTTTGAGCTCGGTTGTGATTGTAAGTCAAGGACTACCTGTAGTAAGTCAAGGTGGTCGCTAAATGGCGCATCCTGTGACTGCGGTTGATTTTACAAATACGTTGGTGGCGGCCATTAAGCGAACAGTGTGCTTGTTCAGTGAACACAGCGGTTGTTAAATGAAACCACTGTTCACTGTGAGGTGATTTTGGCTGAAATCCGGAAGGCAGTTTCCGGCAAAAACATCATAGTTCAATCATGTGACTGCAGGATTCCACAAAAAGCTTTAAATGTGGACTGGTTGTCGAATGATCAAAATGGGGTCATGTGTCTGCCAGGGGAGGCAGCCATTGGAACTTCAAATCCGGATCCTAAGTAGCTTTTTTTGAGGTCCACGTAACTTCGAAACGGAGGATCAACCTTTGGCGTAATCGGTTGAGTCTGGGAAAGACGTTTCAGGCCCGAAGAACTCAGAAAGTGATCACTTTTGAGGTTAAAGCAGATGATTGGATGGGTACAACTCTCACAGCGCTGGCTGACGTTGGTTTTTCTTTTCCTCTCAAGGCTGAGCTCAATACGGGAACCTTGCCTCAGATCCAGAGCACAGCCCTGCGGGGTGAGAAGCTTCACCGGATCTTCCATTATGTCTTTGACAACCTGCTCAACGTGATGAATGGATACTGCCTCCCAGAACCCTTTTTCACCAGCAAGGTAGTGTCCACTGCTTACTTTCTCCCCCCCCTTCTGTTGCCATAAGCCAGGCGTGCCTGGCTGAGGAATTCTGGGAGTTGAAGTCCACCAGTCATAAAAGGGCCAAGTTTGAAGACCTCTGCACTAGAACAGACATGTCACACACAAGGGCCAGGGGACGGATGCAGTCCGCGAAGTGGTTTCATGTGGCCCACGAAGCCATCCTGGAAACAGTGAGGGAATGGCCCAGGCCGGCCGGGAGCCAATGTACAATTTTGTGGTGGCCATCTATTCTGAAATGCACTCAGTCTTAGCTCCATAAGCCCCCCCCCCCCCGCATGGCCTGAGAGAAACAGTGAGGCTCCTCCAGTGGACCATGCCTTGGCACTTGCCCTGCCCCCCCCCCTTCTGCCAGAGATCCTCAGATCTGTTCCACTCCTGCCCAGGCCCCCACAGGCACCCTTGATGCGAACAATGTAGAGCTGGCCACACCCACCCAGTAGGCCACACCCACTCCATCCACGCCCACCCAGTAGGCCGCACCCACCCAGTAGGCCACACCCACTCCATCCACGCCCACCCAGTAGGCCGCACCCACCCAGCCCCCTGAGGGCAACCGCAATGCTGATGCGGCCATCAATGAAATTGAGTTTGACACCCCTGTGCTAGAAGATAAACTGAGAGCAAACCCCACTCCCTTCTGGCACTGATGGTATTACCTAGTATGGTAATGAAACGTCTACAAGAAAACAACCAAACTCAAAGAGCACCAAGGACCCGTCATTTCAACCCTGAGCTACAAAAATTCTCTTTTAAAGGAACATTTCCTAAGTAGTTTTTCTTTGGATAATGACACACAAACCCATTACCCAAACACAACTGGGACAGTTAAATTGACTCAATGTGTTTTATCTATATTGGGTAAAAAGGACTTTCTGATAAGCTGTTTGGGGTAAGGAAGGAAAAAGTTTGGGAAGCACTGTCCTGACCGAATTGGCAATAGAGGTAGTCTTCGACTTGGCATAAGTGATAGTCTATCTCAGTGATGGCGAACCTTTTAGAGACCGAGTGCCCAAACTGCAACCCAAAACCCACTTATGCATCGTCGGGTGCTGGGTGGGTGTGTCCCATTGGGTGGGTGTGGTTATGGTGGTAACGGCAGACTGGGTGGGACTAAAAAGTTCAATCAATCCATTCCAACTTTGCAAGATCTTTTTTTTTTCCGCGAGAAGTTGAAATTGACTGATTGATTGAGCCTTTTTTTTTTTTGCACATGGCCTAAAGCGAAAAGGTTTTATAAAACCCAGCTGAAGGCCTAGGAATGGGGCGACGGCGCGCGTGCCCACAGAGAGGGCTCTGAGTGCCGCCTCTGGCACCCGTGCCATAGGTTCGCCACCACTGGTCTATCTTAATGCCTTAGGGCAGTCTTTTCACCCTGCTGGCTTCTAGATGTGTTAGAACTCCAGAGAAATCCTAGCCAATTAACCTTGCAGGTTCAGTTCTAGCACATCTGGAGAGCATTAACCCCAAGGTCAGGGTTTCTCAATCTTAGCAGCTTTCAAATGTGTGGACTCCATCTCCCAGAATACAGCATGCTGGCTGAAGTATTCTGGGAGTTGAAGTCCATACATCTGAAAGCAATCAAGGTTGAGAAACTTCCTTCCTTCCTTCCTTCCTCCCTCCCTCCCTCCCTCCCTCCCTCCCTCCCTCCCTCATGACGGGTCATAAGACAAGAACTACCTGCAGTGTTAGATGCCTATAGAAAACAAACTCATTTGCCTACTATCTTGATTTACTTTCAACTCCACCTCTAACTCAGGTGAAGAACTGGGTCGAACGGTTAATGAAAACTCTCCGGGATCCATCCTTGCCTCTATTGGAGCTCCAGGATATCATGACCAGCGTCTCTGGGAGGATCCCCCCCAACGTGGAAAAATCCATCAAAAAAGAAATGGCACAGTACGCAAGCAACATCACATCTGTCCTCTGCCAGTTTCCCAGCCAGCAGGTAAGGAATATTGTGATCTGGGTTGAAACTGAGATGAAACTGGCTAGACACCGGTTAGATGGAAGAATAATATGCTTGATGGTGAGAGGTGGTGAGGAGGGTGGGGAAGGAGGGTGTCAACATCCAGCTCAAGAATCCAAATAAAACTCCAGCAATAATTCCACTTCTGAAAATCTTATGTTTTATTGAATACACTGCGTGGTTATGTCAAAGGAAAACTAACTCTGAGGTTCCCACACCAATTCATAGACTTAAACAATAGTTTTCCCAGCCAAACCTCCAATATCTTATGTAATCCATATCAACAAGTCCACCTTGTTATGGGAACCGTCTGCTTCAAATCCGTACCTCTTCTGGTGTCCTTGACAAGGCTTCAAGCTCTTACGGTCTGCAGCTGAATTGAAGAAGTTTCGTTTCTCCAGCTACCCACTAGAGAGTAACACCTCCCCCCTCCTTTATCTAAAGGCAAGTTGAAATGCAGAGGCACGTAGCTGCCAAAGTTTCATTCTTGACAGAGGGTCTAGGACAGTGGTGGCAAACCTATGGCATGCATGCCAGAGGGGGCACTCAGAGTCCTCTCTGTGGGCACGTGTGCCGTTGCCCCAGCCCCGCCTCCCCCTGCGGCCCCTTCCTCAACAGCAGCCCCCCGGAGGAGAGTCGGCCTGGGCGTGACCCACGTGGAGCAGCACAGCCAAGGACATGGCAGCCGGGCAGCAGGGACAAGATTCCGCCCTTGTGCCCCGTCATGCGCTGATGATGCTGCAGGGCGCGGGTGGAGGGCGTGGCCACCATGGCGCTGCTGGGCCGCCTGGGCGATCTGCGGCGGGCCATGGAGGCGGTGGGTGGCCCTGTGGGCAGGTGGGGCGGAGCAGGGGTGGAATGGGGGTGGGTGGAGGGGAGGTGGCGGTTTTTGGGCACTCGGTCTAGGTAGTTTCTAGGTAGTCCTAGAAAAACAGTCCTCAACTTACGACCATAATTGTGCCCTCAATTTTGATTATAAATTGTGATAGTCATAGAGTGGCTCACTAGGTGACTGCCCGATTTTGCGATCTTTTTTGTGGCCGTTGTTAAAATAATGCGGTGGTCATTGAGTCAATCCATGGTTACTGTGGAGGGGCTTTTGCTGGAAAATGGAAGTAAACCACAAGTCATAAAAGGGCCAAGTTTGAAGACCCCTGTGCTAAATTTTGATATGAGGTGTCAGATTCTGTCAGTACCTTGTGGCCGCTCCACCCTTTTCAGTCAAGCCCCAAACTTTGATGCTGTCAGTCAAAGTTTGCTTCTTTTCCGCCTGTAGATTGCCAACATCCTGGACAGTCACGCAGCCACCTTAAACCGCAAATCGGAGCGTGAGGTTTTCTTCATGAACACTCAGAGTATTGTGCAGCTGGTTCAAAGGTGAGTGTGAGGATCACCGAAGTGGTCCCTGGCAAAATCTGAATGGGAAAGCCGAATGACAGGCTTCTTTGTGGGAGGGTCCAGCCTCCACCCCCTTAATAAGTACAATTAAGACCCTACAGATGGGTCTACAACAACTCGTCTTGGCCAACTCACCATGGGATAAGAGTTACACCAGAGGTCTCCAATCTTTCTTGATTGGCGGACCGGAAAGAAAGGGAGGGGGAAGCATTTTACGCACGCACACACGCGCACACACAAATTATAAACTTGTATAAACTTATTGTCTCCTGATGATAGTCCAAGGTCACCCAACTGCCTTTCATGCCTAAGGCAGGACTAGAATTCACCATCTCCTGGTGATTGGCCCTAAGTCAATTAGCCAGCTTTCATGCCTAAGGTGGGACTACAACTCACCGTCTCCTAGTGATTGACCCAAAGTCACCTAGCCGGTTTTCATGCCTAAGGCAGGATTAGAATTCACCATCTCCTGGTGATTAGTCCAACGTCACCCAACTGCCTTTCATGCCTAAGGCAGGACTAGAACTCACCGTCTCCTGGTGATTGGCCCAAAGTCACCCAGCTGGCTTTCATGCCTAAGGCAAGACTAGAACTCACCATCTCTTGGTGATTGGCCCTAAGTCAGTTAGCCAGCTTTCATGCCTAAGGTGGGATTACAACTCACCGTCTCCTGGTGGTTGACCCAAAGTCACCTAGCCGGTTTTCATGCCTAAGGCAGAACTAGAACTCACCATCTCCTGGCTTCTAGCCTGGAGGCTTAACCTCTAGACCAGGGATGTCAAACTCAATTTCATTGATGGCCGCATCAGCTTTTCGGTTGCCCTCGGGGGGGCTGGGTGGGTGTGGCCAGGGTGAGTGCGGCCTACTGGGTGGGCATGGCTAGCTCTACATCATTCACGTCAAGGGTGCCTGTGGGGGCTCAGCCTCTTGGTGCTGTGAGGACAGCGCCCCGCTGCCTGCCGAAACCCTCCCCCCGGAGCCCATCAAGCCGGATATGTGAAGTAGGCGAGGGCCATTTGCTGGCCACTTCCAGGCGATGGTGCATTTCTTCATTCCTCACAAAGGGTGACACCTCCCCAGCATGCACCCAGGGGGCGGGGGCCGACACGGCAAGGGCTGGTTCCTCGCTGTTTCCAGACGGCCTTGTGGAGCTAAGACTGAATGCGTTTCAGCATAGATGGCCACCACAAAATTGTACATTGGCTCCCTTCCGGCCTGGGCCAGGGCCAAGGCAGTGGGGGCCGTTCCCTCACTGTTTCCAGGATGGCTTCGCGGGCCACACGAAACCACTTTGCGGGCCGCATCCAGCCCGCAGACCTTGTGTTTGACATGTCTGCTCTAGACCAGTCTTGGAAGTGTGTTTACAATGCAACCATGATTTCAAAGATTATCCGCTTCAGCGTTTTCATTGTGGAGAGGTCTGTTGCAGATACCGAAGTGGCATCCGAGGTCACATGAAGGCGGTGGTGATGGATTTGCTTCGGCAGTACCTAAAGGTGGAAACTCAGTTCCAACACGGTGGGTCATCTCAGTTCAGGATTTGACTTTTTCGAACGAGGATGGTGGGAATGAGGGCTGTTGTCACAGCAGGGAAGAAGAAGCTGTAATACTTCAGGCCACCAGATGGCAGCATTGTACTGGGATGTCAACCCCCCAAAGGCTTTGTCAACCAAAATTGTTCTTTTCTAAATGATGATTAACTTTCACCAGAAGCACCAGGCAGGCTGGTTAACCATAGTCTAGTGGGACGGCTTTCAGAGCTGATTTCCCATTACCCTTGACCCAGTCAGACGAACAGCGGTTAGAATGGGCAGTCCTTCCTCTCTATATTAGCACATAGCATTGTAAGCTGCTTTGCTTCAATAAAAGTATCCATCTTGCCCTCCCCATCCACCCTGTTTCAGTTAGTCCAGAGGTCTTCAAACTTGGCCCTTTTATCACTTGTGGACTTCAACTCCCAGAATTCCTCAGCCAGACACACTGGCTGAGGAATTCTGGGAGTTGAAGTCCACAAATCATAAAAGGGCAAGTTTAAAGACCCCTGAGTTAGTCCTTCAATATTATCCAGGTAAGAAGTGTGAGCCATGAATACTAACACTGTCTATTTATTTGTTTAGTTCGTTAGTTAGTTAATTATAGAATTTATATGGCCGCCCATTCACTTTCAGTGACTCTAGGTGGCTTACAAAAACTAAAAAATCCAATATACGAAGAGTAAAAACAACACACACACACACACACCTGCATCTCAAACGAAGACTATAGATAGTTTTCGCATTTATGACGGGGACGAAAAATTAACTTTGCAACCAGTCCTCGCATTGATGGCCTTCTCAAGTTTGTGGAACCAAGGAAAGCTGATTATATGTAGCCCTTGAGTTATTACCATAATGGAGCCTGCCCGTGAGGATCATAAGTCCTAACGGTCATAAAACGAGTTGCTGATGTGACTGATCCAATTTCATGACTTTTTTTGCAGTGATTGTTAAGCAAATGGGGAGGTTGTAAGTACGGGTGCCATGGTTAAGTGAGCGCCATAGTTGTTAAACGAAGGCATTGTTCACTATGGCTCAGATTTGCTGATAATCGGAAGTAAATGTTGGTTTTCAGCGAAACCACGCCAAAGTATTTTAATTTGTACTAGATTAGCCTTTCCCTGTCTAGAAGTCCATTAGGGCAGGGGTCTCCAACCTTGGCAACTTTAAGACTTGTGGACTGGCTGAGGAATTCTGGGAGTTGAAGTCCACAAGTCTTAAAGTTGCCAAGGTTGAGGACCCATGCTTTAAGGGTATAGTCCTCAACTCCCAGAATTCCCCATCCATAATGGGCATTGCTGAGAATTCTCGGGGCTGAAGTTCCTAAATCAGGAATGCCCCCAATTAGAAGACGTTTGAAGTAGCAATAGTAATAGCATCTAGACTTATATACTGCTTCACAGTGCTTTACAGCCCTCTCTAAGCGGTTTACAGAGTCAGCATATTGCTCCCAATAATCTGGGTCCTCATTCTACCGACCTCGGAAGGATGGGAGGCTGAGTCAACCGTGAGCCGGTGAGGATCGAACTGATGGCAGTTCGGCAGTCAGCAGAAGTAGCCTGCAAGTACCTTGGTTTCCCTGAAAATAAGACCGAACTGGAAAATAAGCCCTAGCATGATTTTTAAGGACACTCATAATATAAGGCCCACCCCAAAAATAAGCCCCAGTTAAGATCGTCAGCCAGACGGACGCATTTAGTACCGTATTTCCTACAAAATAAGCCCTAAGGCGTCTTTTGGAGCAAAAATTAATATAAGTATTAATACCACTTTACAATGTCTTGGTAAGGCCACACTTGGAATACTGCATCCAGTTTTGGTCACCACGATGTAAAAAAGATGCTGAGACTCTGGAAAGAGTGCAGAGAAGAGCAACAAAGATGATTAGGGGACTGGAGGCTAAAACATATAAGGAACGGTTGCTGGAATTGAGTATGTCTAGTTTAATGAAGAGAAGGACGAGGGGGGACATGATAGGAGTGTTCCAATATCTCAGGGGCTGCCCCAAAGAAGAGGGAGTCAAGCTATTCTCCAAAGCGCCCGAAGGCAGGACAAGAAGCAACGGGTGGAAACTAAGCATGGAGAGAAGCAACCTAGAACTAAGGAGAAACTTCCTGACAGTTAGAACAATTAACCAGTGGAACAACCTGCCTCCAGAAGCTGTGAATGCTCCAACACTGGAAGTTTTTAAGAAGAGACTGGACAGCCATTTGTTCGAAATGGTGTAGGGTTTCCTGCCTGAGCAGGAGGTTGGACTCGATGACCTCCAAGGTCCCTTCCAACGTTGTTGTTGTTGTTATTATTATTATTACTATTATTATTATTATTATTCTCATTATCATAATCATCATCATCATCATCATCATTATTATTATTATTATTATTATTATTATTATTATTATTATTATTATTATTATCGGGGAAAACACGGTAGGTTGCAGCCTGTAATCAAGGGAAGGAAAGAAGTCCCTGCAGATTTTGCTCCGCTAATCATTGCCAACTCTAGGGGGCAGTGCTGATCTCTGTTTTGAGGCCATGAGCCAGTCCAATCAGAAGACATTTCAGTGGTCATGTGGCCAGCATGGTGTCACAGAACGCTGTTTCCTCCCCGTCAAAGTGGTACCCATTTATCTACTCACATTTTGCATGCTTTTGAATGGCCAGGTAGGCAGGAGCGAGGGGTAGGCAGGTGCTCACCCTGCCGGGTGACGCTCGGGTCTCGAACCCAGGGCTGCTGTTTTTTCCAGCCGACAAGCCCAGCATCTTAACCATCATGCCATCCTTCTTGTCATCAAGCATCTCTTATTTATCAATGTCACGTTTGGCTTCCTGGTTGCAGGTCACTATGATAAGTGTGTCTTTGCTCTTCGGGAGGAGAACAAAAGCGACATGAACGCTGTCCTCAACTACATCTTTTCCCACGCCCAGGTGACGAAGAAAAACCTCCTTGTGACAATGCTCATTGTAAGTGAAGCTCTTGGGCACCATTTCTTTAGCGCTCTTTAGTACACCCTTTGAAATATAGCTGAGAGTTGTACCTAGGAGTTATAAAAAAAACGGTGTGATCGATCTGTAGCAATGACTCATTTCAGATTTAAAGCAGTGGGGTAGAACTGCTAGTACTAGAGCAGACCTATCATTTGGCATTCAGGCTCAACAGCTTTAATCTGGGTGGACTTCAGCTCCCAGAATTCCCCAGCCAGAATTCTGAAAGTTGGAGTCTACATATGCTTATTTAACAAAACAGCAGAATTATAGAGTTGGAAGATCTCCAGCAGGAGACCCTACATCATTTCAGACAAATGGCTGTCTAATCTCTCCTTAAAAAGCTCCAGTGATGGAGTGACGTCTATTTATTTATCAAACTTGCATGCCGTTAAACTCCCCTAAGGCCACTCTTGTCATTTATTGTTTTTAAATGCCACTGTGAGGACCAAATGGATGGACGGTTGAAGTTGGTTGGTTGGTTGGTTGAAGTCCATCCAAGTGGTCGCTGGAAAGGGGAATGGAATGGATTTCTTTGAAGAATACTCTACGTGTCAGCAATTTAGCATGGTTTCTACCTGTTTGGGTCCACAAGAATGTTTATACACATGATTATGCAGCTGCTAAATAACAGATGTAGAACGGTGTTTCTCAACGTCCGCCTCTTTAAGATGTGTGGACTTCAACTCCCAGAATTCCCCTGGCCAAATTCTGGGAGTTCAAATCCACACACCTTAAAGCAGGGTTCTTCAAACTTGGCCCTTTTATGACTTATGGACTTCAACTCTCAGAATTCCTTAGCCAGGCACGCTGGCTGAGGAATTCTGGGAATTGAAGTCCACAAGTCATAAAAGGGCCAAGTTTGAAGAACCCTGCCTTAAAGCATGCTGGCTGGGGAATTCTGGGAATTGAAGTCCACACAACTTGAAAGTTACTGATTAGGGAAATCTTGGTTGCTATCTGAGGAATTCTGGGAGTTGGAGTCCACCCATCTTAAAGTTGCCAAGATTGAAAAAACATTGTTGTGGAGCACATGGATCAGCATAATCCGCAAAGATGCGTCAAAGGGATTGTCTTTTAAGAAGCGAAAGACAAAATCCTCCATTTTGAAAAGATGAAGAGGGAGAAATCTGGCTTCACCTGGAATTGGATTGGATTGTTTTCCCTGTGGAATTGTTTTCCCTTCTGGAGCAACAGTTGTTCAGAGAATCACCTGCATGTTATAACTGCATGTTAAGCAGCTGTTTTAATAGCGCTAACCTTTTCAAACCAGATAGCCAGACTTGGTCCTCGTTTTGCATTCTTATGCCTTCCCCCTAAAATTCACCAGTCACAGCCATCCACCATTCTTGAGGTCTGATAATAATAATCTCTTATTTTGCCTCAAAATCTCTCATTTAAAAATTGGGCTGGAGGTGCTGGGGCAATTCTTCTGGGTTGGCCACTGATGTCCCCCAAATCTCCAATCCCATCTTTTTCAACTAAAAAGACAAAAGCAGAGAAGATAAAGGCCTCTCCCTTGTCCCATGACCTGGAGGAGTAAAATGTTTGACTATGGGTATTTTAAAATATAGCTGAGCTGAAGAAAAATGCCTCTTTTTTTTTAATGTAGCCTGTGGGAGAGTTAACCCCGGGATTGATGGCATCCATCACCTCACAGTTTGTGTCATGCTTTCAAAGACGCTAATTAATAGGGTTGAGCTTTTCAGGCCTCTTCTTGTGCTTCTGCATCTTTTTCTCTTTTTGCTAAAGATGTGAAGGGTTCCTGTCACTAGAAACTGATTTGCCCAGCTAAAAGTTTAAACAAGGCACTGTTTTTCTTCTTGCACAGTCTCTTAGAACAGCTGACACTTGATGGCTATACATATCGCCATTGTCTTACTTAAATCATAATCTGTACAATATGAAGATCTCTCTCTGTCTCTGTCTCTCTCTCTCTCTCACACACACACACACACATACACACACACTCTCCCTTCATCTTCTTTCCTTCTCTTCTCCCTTTCCTTCTTCCATTCTTCCTCTCCTCTCTTCCCCTCCATTCTCCTCTCATTCCCCCTTCCCTTCCCTCATTCTCCTCTCCTCTCCTCCTCCTTTTTTCTTTCCTTTCTTTTTATTCTTCTCTATTTACTTCCCATGCTTTCCCTTTTCCTTTCCTTTCCTTTCCTTTCCTTTCCTTTCCTTTCCCTTCCTGCCGTGTGACTGTAAGTAACGCTTGCCTTAAGAATCTCATTATTTGAACACAGAGCCATATTTCCTCTGAGAATTCTGGAGTAGCTTTGAGCTGGGGCTGTTCATTTCTCAAGTAATCATGCTGGCATGATGGAGAGAAAAAATGGCAGCTGTTCGCAGCTCAGGCCTTCAATTTCCTTCAGAGTCCAGTCACTCAAGTGTGTAATTACATGGGGGTGCTGGAGAGGCGTTAGGCCTTGTCAAAGAAGACGTCAGAGGCCTTTGCCGAGATCGGGGCAGGCTGAAAGCTGAGCACTGGTGCTGCATGCCTTGCGTTTTTGGGGGGAGTTGATGAATCCTTCTTTCCAAGATGGGGTTTTAAACTGCTTTTCCATTTTGGGGGGGATCTACCTCTATAGTCCTTCTGAGAGCTTTCGAGGAGGAACCGTTGTCGTTTTCGGTAAGGCTGGTGCTTCAGGGCTGGTGGAAGAGCTGCCACGGGTTGAATCAAGAGTCACTTCTATTGGTGTGACTTACAGGTAGTCCTCGACTTATGACTACAATTGAGCCTAACATTTCTGTTGCTAAGCAAGACAGTCGTTAAGTGGGGTTTGCCCCATTTTACGACCTTCTTTGCCACCGTTGTTAAGTGAATCACGGAAGTTTGTTAAGTTAGTAACACGGGAGTTAAGTGACTCTGGCTTCCGCAGTGACTTTGCTTGTCGGAAGGTCCCAAAAGGTGGTCACATGACGCGGGGACACTGCAACTGTCCTAAATCTGAGTCAGTTGCCAAGTGTCCCATGATCATCATCGGGATTCCTCAATGGTCGTAAGTGTGAAAAATGGTCACAAGTCACTTTTTTCAGTGCCATTGTAAGTTCGAATGGTCACTAAACAAATAGTTGTAAGTGGAGGACTACCGGTAATAGATGAACACATAGGAAGAAACTCTGGTTGCTGTATAAGATCCTGTCTGTCTTCTGGAGATTTTGTTTAGCTATCCCAGGGGTTGGCAACCTTGGCTCTTTTATGACTCGTGGACTTCAACTCCCAGAATTCCTGAGCCAGCCATGCTGAGGAGAAAGGGAGAGGTTTCCATGCTGAGCCATGCTGGCTCAGGAATTCTGGGAGTTGAAGTTCATGAGTCATAAAAGAGCCAAGGTTGCCTACCCGTGACCTATCCTTGATAGAACTCCATGCTTTTGCTCAGTTGCTTTCCATAGCATTCTGTTTTGGTGTGAGATATCATAGTTTCTAAGATGGTCGACCCTACTTGAACTACCATACGGGTGGTTCTCAACTCATGACCATAACTGAGTCTGGAATTACAGTCATAAGTCATTGTGGTCGTAACCTGAGGGATCCACATGACCTTTTTCATGGCAGTCATTAAGCCAAAGTGGCGGTTGTTAAGTGAATGTCATAGTTGTTATGGTCACATGACCACATGACCATGGAACGCTGCAAACAGTCATTAAGCTGACCTGTCTGACATGGGGTCATGTGACTGTGGTGGGGGGGCAGTGCAACCATTCAGCTGTTGAGAACCATGGGTGACCATGGACCAGTCCTTCCATTTTATCCCCAGAGTGTCTTCCAGTGGTGAGGATAGTAAACTAAGAAGAAGAATCCTCTCTTTTAGCATGGAAGCGGCAAGGGTGACGTCAGGCAATTCTCTATCTTTCAGCCCAAGAACAAATGTGGGGTAGTGTTGAAAAGCCAGTAAAAGCCATAACATTTCTCATTTTTTCCATCTTGTTGTTGAATTTTTAAAGTGGGTGCTGTTTAGCCTTCACAGTCATGGCGCCTTCTGTATAAGAGGACTTCAGCTCCCAGAATTCCCAATAATAATCCTGCTGGCTGGAGAATTCTGGGTACTGAAGTTCACATATCCGGAAGGCATTAGTTTGCAGAGTTCAGTTTACTAGATAGCTAAAGCAATGAGTGTGTACTCACAAGAAGGAATATTAGGTTATTAGGAGTCTATGGGACTTCCAGCCTGTCTCCCCTCCGCCTGCTCTATGTCAGCATGTAAACAAAGATGATTAGGGGGCTGGAGGCTAAACCATATGAAGGAAAATTGCAAGAATTGGGTATGTCTGGCCTAGTGAAGAGAAGGACAAGAGGTGACATGATAGCTGTCTTCCAAAATTTGAGGGGCTGTCTTAGAGAAGAGGGGGTCAATTTATTCTCCAAAGCACCTGAAGGCAGGACAAGAAGTAACAGGAAAAAACCAACCTGGAACTAAGGGGAAATTTCCTGATAGTTAGAACAATTAATCAGTGGAACGACTTGTCTCCAGAAGTTGTGGGTACTCCATCACTAGAGGTTTTACGAAGAAACTGGACAGCCATTTGTCTGGATTGATATAGGGCAGTGGTGGCGAACCTATGGCACGGGTGCCAGAGGCGGCACTCGGAGCCCTCTCTGTGGGCACACGTGCCATTGCCCTAGCCTTGCCTCCCCCCGCAACCCCCTCCTCACCAGCAGCCCCCCTGGAGGAGAGTTGTCCCTGAGCGTGGCCCACGCGGAGCAGTGCAGCCAAGGACATGGCAGCCAGGCAGTATAGACAAAACTCCACTCTCATGTCCCATCACGCACAGTTGATGCTGTGGGGTGCGGGCAGAGGGCATGGCCACCATGGCGCTGCTGGGTGATCAGCGGTGGGCCCTGGAGGCGGTGAGTGGCCCTGCGGGGAGGCGGGATGGGGACAGGGCGGGGACGGGGCAGTGGGTGGAGTGTGGGCGGGGCCAGTTTTTGGGCACTCGGTCTCTAAAAGGTTTGCCATCACTGATATAGGGTCTCGTGCTTGAGCAGGGGGTTGAAGTAGAAGATCTCCAAGGTCCCTTCCAACTATGTTATTGTGTATTCTCTATTCTTTCTAGCATGCCTTCTTTTTAGAACAGCAGTTCTCAAACTGGGCCACTTTAAGATGTTTGGACTTCAAATCCCATGGCTGGCTGGGGAATTATGGGAACTTGAAGTCCCCATATCTTAAAGTGGCCAATGTTGAGAAACACTGTTTTAATACACGCTACGTCTCATTTTTATTAATATTCAGTGGTAAACCTCCAAGCCAACACTTGCTTGGGAGAAATACCTACCGGTATAAAAATAAAAGTCATAGAGTCTCACTTCAAAATATGAGCGAAATTTCTTTAGTGAAAATGCCTTTTTCCCTTAGGAGCAAACCAGAATCTCTTTTCTATAAAAGCCTGTATGTTACTATATTATTCCACAAATTTGGCTTTTCTGTGTTGGTTTTTGTATCAATAAATTATAGATTATAATGTATGATCTGGGGTGGAGGCTATATTTTGAGAAGTAGGTCTCCCTTGGATGCTGAGTCTGTAAATCAAGAAGTTCTTTGTTTTCTTGACAGGATCAGTTGTGTGGCCGAGATCCCACATTGACCGATGAGCTGATCAATATTCTGACGGAATTGACCCAGTTAAGTAAGACCACAAACGCCAGAGTTGCCTTACGAGCCCGCCAGGTAAAACATAGATAAGGGTAACCTCTAGCAATGTTAAGACAACATTAGGCCAACTTATCCTGCTTATTTATCTCATTGGTTGCTTATCTTATCTCAAAGTATGCCCTGATCATACATTGTCCCATTGCTGCCTTCCGTTAAGGGTAGGCAGTCTGATACCTTTAAAGTTTGATACTACATTTCCCATCAGGCATATCTCAGAATCAGAGAATTAACCAGGAGTCACTATGGAGAGTTAAGCCAGGAATCAGAGTCAAAAAACTGTCTGACTCAGCAGTGCATAGAAGAGAATATTTGTAGCTCAAGGTTGAACTGTGGGATCCAATAAGATTCTACCATCATTAGAAATACTAAAAATTACACCAATTAGATTAGAGAAAATCTTTAAAAACGTTTCAAATATTTGTTGGAAATGTAAACAAAAACCAGGCACTTACTACCATCTCTGGTGGATATGCCCTAACGCTAAGAAATTTTGGTTTAAGATTCATATGTGGTTAGAAAAGATGATGAAAATAAAGATAGAATTTAAACCGGAATTGTGTTTGCTAGGAATATTAGGATCTAATTATGGAAAGGAGAATGAGTACTTAATATTACATGTATTAACAGCTGCGAGAATAGTATTTGCCCAATTTTGGAAAAACGAAAATCTACCATCTGATCAAATTATAATAATAAAAATACTTGAATGTGCTGAAATGGACAGATTAACTTTAGAAATGAAAGAGAAAGAAGACTCAATCTATTTTAAAACATGGGATAAATTTTACCAACACGATAGAATGAGAAAAGGTTATGAAATACTGTTATTTTGTATTTAACTGTTATGTTTATTTCTATGAATTCTTCTTCCTTTTTCTTTTTGTGATTTTAACAATAAGTAACTATAACTAATAAGTAATATATTAATGTGCTAAAGTTATTTGATTAATTAGTAATATAATTAGTAATATTATATCAAGTATTGTTATCTTATATTAATTATCATGATTGAATATGTATACCCAGACGGGTTTACTTGCTGAAGCGTTGATTTAATGTGGGGGATAACCCCACTATTGTACTGATCCCTTCCCCTGGTCTAACCTTTTTTGTTTGTCACTCCTTGTTATACCCTTATTGACCCTACTTCCCCTTTATCCTTATAAAATCTAATAAAATATTTATAAAAAAAAAAAAGAAATACTAAAGAGCAGCACGTCTCTCCAGATTCAAAGACAAAAAAATACTCAAAAGTGGAGTCTTGGGTGCTCTCAGAGTTTGGTTATTTTCTTGCAGACGTTTCATTACCCAACTAGGTAACATTATCAGTGCAAGAAGGGAGTGGGGTTTGCTCTCAGCAGTATATCACAGATCTCCTGACATTACAAACCTTCTTCTCTAGGCTTGGCACAAATTCCCAGACATGACTCTCACCTTCCAGATAGGAATACATGTAGTCCTCGGCTTACGGCCACAATTGAGCCCAAAATTTCTGTTGCTAAGCAAGTCAGCTGTTAAGTGAGTTTTGGCCCATTTTACAACCTTTCTTGCCACAGTTGTTAACTGAACCTATGCAACTGTTAAGTTAATAACACGGTTGCTCAGTGAATTTGGCCTTCCCATTGTCTTTACTTGTCAGAAGGTCGCAAAAGGTGATCACATGATCCCGGGACACCACAACCGTCATAAATATGAGTCAGTTGCCAAGCGTCTCAGTTTTGATCACGTGACCATGGAGATGCTAAGACGGTCATAAGTGTAAAAACAGTAATAAGTCACTTTTTTCAGTGCCGTTTTAACTTCAAACCGTCACTAAACGAGCGGTAAGACAATCCTGTCATCTCCTGATTTTCCGTAGGTTGCCTGTGGCTCCATTACCTGGTTGCCCGATGACCTTAAGCTAGGACAGTGTGAAAACAACCATCTCATGATCAGGAGAGTCAATTACTCAACTTCCCCTTTGTTTCTCTGTCCTATTTGCCCAGTGTCATTTGCTGGCACCCAGCTGGCAACCTGGGCGCCCCGGGGTTGGACTGAAAGACATAGCACAAATCACAGGAGCAGAAAACAAAATATATGGCTTAGACTTTGGCAAGAGAACCCCAACACACTGTGTAAAAAGAAGCAGCGGTCTCTTCTTAATGACTCCCCTGGGGCCGTCAAAGTTTTCCTTTTTTTTCCTCCCAAACTCAAATAAAACTTGATTTTGCTGGGGTTTTTTCTGCCCTTTTCTTAAGTTCTCCATTTCACATTCCAATTTAAATACCAGCTCTATACCTGGAGAGCTCTCTGCTGATAGGGACTTTTCTGTATAATTAAAATAATGTGGAGGTGGGGAAAGAGATGAAATCTAGTTGTCTCTCAATAATTCTACGCTGGTAGAAGCTCCTTTTTTTAAAACTCCCCCGTCGTTCCCTTCGTTTCCATTTTAGAAGTCAGAGAGCAGGGGAAGGAAAGAAAAAGAAAAGAAGAGAAACATGCTTATTGGTTGTTGTTGTTTTTTAATTTTATTTTAAACTACAAGGGGTACATGTAGTCCTCGACTTACAACAGCTCACTGAGTTCAAAGTTACAACGGCACTGAAAAAAATGACTTACGACCGTTTTTCACACTTACGACCATGGCAACCTCCCCATGGTCACATGATCAAAATTCAGATGCTTGGCAACTGACTCATATTTACGACAGTTTCAGTGTTCCAAGGTCATGTGATCCCATTTTGCGACCTTCTGACATTCAAAGTCAGTGGGGAAGCCAGATTCACGTAACAACCATGTAATTAATTTAAGAACTGCAGTGATTCATGTAACACCTATGGCAAGAAAGGCCGTAAAATGGGGGAAAACTCGCTAACAATTGTCTCCCTCAGCAACAGAAATCTTGGGTTCAATTGTGGTCGTAAGTCGAGGACTACCTGTATAAAATAATAAAAGGGTGTCTGAAGCTTCTTGGTGACTTTAGCTATCTTCTGCTGGGTTGCTATCTGTGCCCTTGAACCTCTCAGCAGCCATCATCATTATGTTGGCACTGTTGGCATCGGCGTCTTTCCTGGTTATTTTTGTTGCCTTTTGTGGCCTTTTCATGGTTGGTGCCCTCTGTCACAAAAAAATGAGATTGACGTCTGCTAAGTTAAAGCAAATCATCCTGCTAGAAAACACAGAAGTTGGAGCTTGTAAGCAGATGAATTTTACCTCAGATATTTGCTTCCTGAGGAAACTTCCCTATTGAAAAAAACTGGACCAAATCAAACATAGCAGTGCAGAATTGGCTCACTTAATAATTTTAATTTTTGTTTCCCAAAATTAACAGTTCAATCCTAACAGATTAAGTAATATCTATTTAATTTAACACACAATCCTAACAGATTAAATGTGTCATCGACGCAATGAAAATGAATTTGAGCAAACTCCGGGAGACAGTGGAGGCCAGGGAGGGCCTGGCATGCTATGGTCCTTGGGGTCCTGAATAGACGGACACAACTTAGCAACTGAACAAGAACAAAAACAGATGAAATAACATATTATTTATTAAGAACAAAATTGTCCCACTGGCTGTGTGGTTCAAAGAAACCGGCGGCTGCTAAAAATGTTTAAAAATGAAACATCAGCTGCTTCATTGTTTTAATTGTAGAGCATTTTAAAAGCCTGGAAGCAACACAGAGATACAACTGTAGAGTTTGGCAACCCTAGACAATCTTTTGGTTTTTATTTGTTCCATTTCAACAAACAAGTTTCTAGTTCTCATCAGAGAGTTTAGGAAATGCATTTTTACCTTTCCCCTGTCACTGTGGTTTACATGACAAGATAGCCAGAGTTCCTTGCAAAATCTGAGTACAAGTAGTCCTCGACTTACAACAGTTCATTTAGCGATCGTTCAAAGTTACAACAGCACTGAAAAATTACTTATGACCATTTTTTCCCCACATTTATGACCATGGCAGCATTTGGATGCTTGGCAACTGGTTCATATTTATGATGGCTGCAATGTCCAAGGGTCATGTGATGACCTTTTGTGACCTTCTGACAAGCAAAGTCAGTGGGGAAGCCAGATTCACTTAACAACCGGGTTGCTAACTTAACAACCACAATGATTCACTCACTTAGCGATAGAAATTTTGGGCTCAGTTATGGCCATAAGTCGAGGACTACCTGTAATTAGAGGCAGAAGAATGAGGTAAACACCTGGACCTTTGTATAATGCCCAAGGTAGGATAATTTGAGACTGGCTATTTGCATTCATGGGTTTATTTGTTTGAAAATCCATTTGTTTTCTTTCTTGGCTATCCAAGAGTCTTCTCCAGTGCTAAAGTTCAAAAGCATCAATGCTCTTTCCATGTTGCTTCTTCAAAAATCCAGCTTTGGCATGGAAAGGTGGACTGCCACCTGTACAATTCTAATCTTTGCAGGAATAAACACCTCATGGCATCTGAATATCTTCCCCAAGACCTTCTGTGCCACCCATAGCTTTAGAACCAGGCCTGATCCTGAATCCCAGCTTTGAAATTCCACAATTTCACATTTTCCTCCATTCCCTGAGTAACGTTCAAACAACTGGTGACTTTTTGTTTCCTACTTAGGTGCTCATCGCTTCCCACCTGCCCTCCTATGAACTCCGTCACAATCAGGTGGAATCCATCTTCCTCTCGGCTATTGACATGTACGGGCACCAGTTCTGCATTGAGAATCTGCAGGTATGATGATTATGGATCCTAAGATCAAATTGTAATAGTGGGCATTTTCGTGATGATTTTTCAGAAATCCAACAGGTAAAAAAAGATTTGCTGTGTAGGATTAACTCTAATTTTAGTTACAGTTTGCAATGTGCAGCCTCGATGGGTGTATCTTTCTTTCACTGATCCCCATTCTTATTTTGGTTATTTATATCCCACAACAGTCATAAGTCTGTAAACAGGTCGTAAGTCACGTTTTTCAGTCCCGTTGTGACTTTGAACGTCACTCAATGTAAGGTTGTAAGTCTGTATTTAAGAGTGGGTGGTTTCTAAATTGGATACACAGATAATCCTCAACGTACGACCACAATCGAGCCCAAAATTTATGTTGTTAAGTGAGACATCTGTTAAGCGAGTTTTGCTCCATTTTTCAACTTTTCTTGCCACAGTTATTAAGTGAATTATTGCAGCTTTTAAGTTAGTAACCTGGTTGTTAAATGAATCTGGCTTCCCCCCCTTGACTTTGCTTGTCGGAAGGTCGCAGAAGGGGATCATGTGACTCTGGGACACTACAACGGTCATAAATATGAGTCAGTTGCCAGGCCTCTGAATTTTGATCACCATTGACCATGGTGCAATGGTCGTAAGTGTGAAAAACAGTCATGTCACTTTTTTCAGTGCTGTTGTAATTTTGAACGGTTGCTAAATGAATTGTGATAAGTGGAGGACGACCTGTATAAATAAATATTAAAAATATAAAGTCATTGTTAAACTGTTGAGGGTTAGAACCTTTGCTAATCAAATTCAAATCATTTAGACAGAATTACCAATAGTTCCTGATCTGCCTTGTAGCCTTCTGTGTGGGCACCATATATAAATCCAAATGGATCAGGTGCAGAAATAAGGTAGAATTATCCTCTCACAGTACAGGTCCCTCACAGTCTTACCACTGTTCGTTTAGTGACCACTCAAAGTTACAACAGCATGAAAAAAGTTATTTATGGCCGTTTTTCACACTCATGACCATGGTCACATGATCAAAACTCAGACATTTGCCAACTGGCATGTATTTATGACGGTTGCAGTGTCCCGGAGTCATGTGATCCCTTTTGCGACTGTCTGACAATCAAAACCAATGGGGGGAAGCCAGATTCACTTAACAACCGTGTTCCTAACTTAACAACTGCAGGGATTCACTTAACAACTGTGGCAAGCAAGGTCGTGAAATGGGGCAAAAGCTGCTTAACAACTGTCTTATTTGACAAAAGAAACGTAGGACTCAATTGTGGTCATAAGTTGAGGACTACCTGTAAAGAGAGTGATTGGGAAGAGGCGCATCCAATACAGTCACTCAGACAGAGAGGCAGTAGACATTGTCCTCTGTATGTAAGTGTATCCCCTGTGGCTTGGCAGGAAGAATAAATTATATAGTTGTGGTTTTTTTTTAAATAAACAAGCTTATGACCGCAATGGGGACCAGCATTTTCATTGCTAAACAAGGTGCTTGTTAAGTGAGTCACATACGATTTTACGATCCCTTTGCTCACGGTTGTTAAGTGAATCCCTGCAGTTCTTAAGTGAATCATGCAGTCATTAAGCAAATCTGGCTTCGCCATTGACTTTGCTTTTCGGGAGGCAGCAGGGAAAGGTCCCAGAGGGGAATCCCACAACCCCAGGATGCTGCAACTGTCATAAAGTTGCCAAGCAGCCAAATTTTGATCACATGACCTGGGGATGCTATAATGGTTGTAAGTACGAGGACTGGTTGTAAGTCAGTGCCACAGTCACTTCAGACAGTTGCATGCTTGTGAGTTGTGGACTATAAAAATAACCTAAATAAATACAAACATAAATAAACATTTGCAAGGTTGGATGAAAAGCCGTTACGTCCGACTGTGCTCTTTTTTACATGATCAGTTGGCCCAGCCACTGGTTTTGAGTCAGAAGAAGAAAAAAAATTGAAATTCTGTGGAAAAATATCTTCTCTTTTTCCCCCTCAGAAACTTATCCTCTCTGAGACTTCCATCTTTGACGTGCTCCCCAACTTCTTCTACCACAGCAACCAAGTAGTGCGAATGGCAGCTCTGGAGGTCAGTAAAACCAAACATTTTCTTTCGTGGGTGAGTCTGTTCTTCCCCTCAGTTCCACCATGCGCCCGAGTCACCTTTTCAGAGGCTTCTCTGTGGCCTTGTGCTTTTTAATCGGAAGTGAAGCTATTCTCCAAAGCGCCTGAAGGCAGGACAAGAAGCAACGGATGGAAACTGACCAAGGAGAGAAGCAACCTAGAACTAAGGAGAAACTTCCTGACAGTTAGAACAATTAACCAGTGGAACAACCTGCCTCCAGAAGCGGTGAATGCTCCAACACTGGAAGTTTTTAAGAAGTGACTGGACAGCCATTTGTCTGAAATGGTATAGGGTTTCCTGCCTGAGCAGGGGGTTGGACTAGATGACCTCCAAGGTCCCTTCCAACTTTATTATTATTATTATTATTGCTTCAAAGGCTTTCATCCAAGGACCCACACGAGAAAACAACATCATTAAACCAAACATGAACAGAGGCTCTGTTTTGTATCACCAGTTTTGACCCACACAGGCACCAATAATGTAACGGAAAAGGATCTCCCCTCCCCCCCCCAATACTGAAGCTTTTTTGAGAATATATGTCAGTTTCTGAGACAGCCCCTAAGCTGACATTTTCAAGTCATTTGCATTTACTAGCTTTTAAAAAGAATTATTTACTTACCGTATATACTTGAGTATAAGCCGAGTTTTTCAGCCCATTTTTGGGGCTGAAAAATGCCCCCCTCGGCTTATACTCGAGTCAGCGCCTCGAAGTAGCCGCTGCTGGTGCCGCCGCCGCCGCCAGGCAAGCCACGGCGGCTCGCCGCTCGCTCCCCCTCCCCGGCGCTGCGCTCCGCCTGCTTGCCTGGCGGCAGTGGCGGCATTCACGGTGGCTCGCCGCTCGCTCCCCCTCCCCTGGCGCTGTGCTCCGCCTACTTGCCTGGCGGCGGCGGCAGCAACAATAAGCTCGGTGGCGGGAACGAGCCGGGCGGCGGCNCTGCCGCCGCCCAGCTCGTTCCCGGCATCGCCCCGGCCTGTGATGCTCCAGGTACGGCCCTCCCCCCTTCCCTTCCGTTCCCTGTGGCGCTGCGTGTCAAGGCCGGGACGGAATACCCCGGGCCGCCGCAGCCAAGCGCGAGGGGGAACGCCAGGCGCCTTGCGCGAAGGGGGGAGGCCTGGCGACGCTGCGCCCTGCCGGGCGCTCACTGACAGGGCTAGGGAGGCTGAGGCGGCCAGGGAGGAACAGCCAACTGCCGGCAACCAGCCGGAACTGCTGGGGCCGGCCCGTATTGAAGAATACGGCCGAATTTACCCGGGCTGGCCGAGAAAGGCGCACCTCCAGCCTTCTCCGCAACCGGGAGAAGCCCTCTCCCTTTTGCAAGGTCGCCCCCTCCCCGCTTTTGGGGTGGGGGAGAATTGAGAGAGAGAGAGAGAGAGAGAGAGACACAAACACACACACACACAAAGAGGAGAGGGGAGCCGGCCGGCCCACCCGTTTCCCCCTTTCCCTGCACGAGCGTCTGTGGATTTCCCCCCCCTTTTTTTTCTGCCCGCCTCTCTCGCCCGCCCGCCCGGTCGGAAAAATGTGTGTGCTGAAAAATGCCCCCTCGGCTTATACGCGAGTCACCATTTTTTCCCAGTTCTTTGAGGAAAAATAGGTCCCTCGGCTTATATTCGGGTCGACTTATACTCGAGTATATACGGGTATGTATTTTAGGGAGGTTTTTTTCATCCTGTCTTTCTTATTTTTATAAATAGCTCAAGATGGCGATCATTCCTTATCCTATTTCTCATCCAACAACAACCCTGTAAGGTTGGTTGGTCTGAAAGAGTAACTGGCCCAAAGTCACCCAGTTGGCTTTCATGCCTAAAGTGGGACTAGAATTCACAGTTTCTTGGTGATTAGCCCAAAGTCACCCAGCCAGCTTTCATGCCTAAGGTGGGACTAGAACTCACAGTCTTCTGGTGATGATGATGATGATGATGATGATGATGATGATGATGATGATCATAATAATAATAATAATAATAATAATAATAATAATAATAATAATAATAATAATAATAATAATAATAATAATAATAATAATAATAAAAAAAAAGTTGGAAGGGACCTTGGAGGTCATCTAGTCCAACCCCCTGCTCAAGCAGGAAACCCTATACCATTTTGGACAAATGGCTGTCCAGTCTCTTCTTAAAAACTTTCAGTGTTGGAGCATTCACCGCTTCTGGAGGCAGGTTGTTCCACTGGTTAATTGTTCTAACTGTCAGGAAGTTTCTCCTTAGTTCCAGGTTGCTTCTCTCCTTGATTAGTTTCCATCCGTTGCTTCTTGTCCTGCCTTCAGGTGCCTTGGAGAATAGCTTGACTCCCTCTTCTTTGTGGCAGCCCCTGAGATACTGGAAGACTGCTATCATGTCCCCCCTCGTCCTTCTCTTCGTTAAACTAGACATACCCAATTCCAGCAGCCGTTCCTTATATGTTTTAGCCTCCAGTCTCCTTGATCATCTTTGTTGCTCTTCTCTATACACTTTCTAGGGCAGTGGTGGCGAACCTATGGCACGGGTGCCAGAGGCGGCACGCAGAGTCCTCTCTGTGGGCACGCGCGCCGTCGCCCCAGTCCTAGGCCTTCAGCTGGGTTTTATAAAACCTTTTCGCTTTAGGCCTCCGCCGCCATGTGCCCCCCCAAAAAGGTTCAATCAATTTCAACTTCTCGCAGGGGAAAAAAAAAATCTTGCAAAGTTGGAATTGATTGATTGAACTATTTAGACCCACCCAGTCTGCCGTTACCACCGCAGCCACGCCCACCCAGTGGGCCACACCCACCCGGTACCTGACGATGCATAAGTGGGTTCTGGGTTGCAGTTTGGGCACTCGGTCTCTAAAAGGTTCGCCATCACTGTTCTAGGGTCTCAGCATCTTTTTAAAATCATGGTGACCAAAACTGGACTAGAATTCACAGTCTCTTGGTGATTAGCCCAAAGTCACCCAGCCAGCTTTCATGACTAAGGCAGGACTAGAACTCACAGGCTCCTAGTGTCTAGCCAGGTGCCTTAATCACTAGAAAAATAGTATATTATGGCCTGTAGATATCTGCTTGACTGAAAAACAGAAGGTTATAAAATGTAAGGAAAGGTAGTTTTGTCCCTTTGAAAGGAGTTATCAAGGCATCTCTGCCCTTGAAGTAACATGAGATCTTTTCAGAGGTGACCTCTTGGTGCAACACAGTGAAATTAAGGGGGGAAGAAGGAAGTGTGTGACGGGGGAGAGAGGGTTCAAGGCAGCTCAGCATTAAATTAGTGACTAGAATTTCACTGTTCAGGCTTATTCTCAAATCACCTTTCCCTCTTTTGTCACACTCCACCTCTCGGCTGTCATCACCACATCTTTTAGCAGAAGGTTCTGTAGCTTCAGTAGCTGAGGTGTGAAGAAATCTCCCCCTTTGTCTGCTTTCCTTCCTACAGCACAGAGACGACAGGGCCAACTGGCACAAGGTGTAGGGCTGACTTGGAAGGCCCTCAAAAGTGAGCCAAAAATCTCTCGGAGGGCAAAGATATTGGCAGTTGAAATAGTTGACTGTCGCCTTCAGTTGTGAAGACCTCATGCTTAACGAGAACAGCTGTACAGGTAGTCCTCGACGTACGACCACAATTGAGCCCAAAATTTCTGTTACCGAGTGAGACATTTGTTAAGGGAATTTTGCTCCATTTTACCAACTTTCTTGCCACGGTTGTTAAAGTGAACCGGTCCGGTTGTTAAGTTAGCAACATGGTTGTTAAGTGAATCTGTCTTCCCCATCGACTTTGTCTGTCAGAAAGTTGCAAAAAAGGTGATCACATGGCCTCGGGACTTCCGGACCGCTCCCCCACGCCACAGGGAGACGGAACCGCCTAGATGGTTCCGTCCCAGGCGACTGATGGACCCGGAGAGGTTCCTGATGGAGCTTGGGCCATATCCGGAGGATCTGGTCCACGACTCGGCGGAAAGGCAGGCGGCGGCTTGGGAGACAACTGCCGCCGCAGCGTTGGACCGAGTCGTGCCTTTG